TTCTCGTACTTATAGTACGCACCGTACGTAGTACGCGTAGTGCGCGTACTTCAAGCGTGCAGACCCTGAAATGGGACACAGCCTGAGTCAGCATCACAAAAGATCCATTTCATTTTTAGATGGAAATAACATAAAAGAGAAAACATATCTGAGACTCGGGCAATCCCGAGATAGGATTTTGTTCTTATTTCTTATCTCCTATTATTCCTGTGTGCCTTCACAGATTTTCTGCGTTGTGGCTAAAGGAGAAATCAATGCTGCCGTGAACCAAAAAAACGAAAAACATCTAAACAAACAGGATTTTTCAGAAAGCTATATACACACATATGTACAGAGAAAGATAGAAAAAGAGTAACCAAATAACAGAGTGAATGTTTTTTTTTTTTGCTTAGATAAAGATGAGTATATGTATAAATACAAACAGTGCGTGTCAATTAGAACCACCTTTTCCAAAAGTCCCAATAAGCTAATTTGTAGTCCTGACTAACCCAATTCAAAAAAACAGTCAACTCAGCTGTTTGGCTCTCGCTTTAGCCTCAGGCCTGAATCTCACATAACAGTCTTCCTCTGCGCAGTACTCGCACACACCGCTGGGACCAGGACTTCAACTGAATGGCCCCAAAACCGTGTATAGTTGAGAGCTTAGGCCTTCACATATTCATCAGTATATTTAAGCTTTGACTGAAGCAGAATAAAAAATATAATTCTTTTATAATGTTTTCTTTTTTCTCGTCTTTGTTATGGGTGCATAATTTATGCAGTTCATGAATAAACTGTATCCTTTTTGTGAGATTTGCCTGCCTACTGCTCTGTGTGTCAGAGTGCTTTGTGTGATGCGTTGCTCTGGGCCACAATGACATTCACTCTGTGATATTGACAGGAGAGGATCACTGTGTGATTAGCCCTTCAGTTTCCCTGACAAATGTTTGTTCTGTAATTTCTCATAGTCCCCGGAGGCATCGCACCAGAGTCACTCACCTTCACCCCACTGGATGACATGATCTTCCTGAAGTGGGAGGAGCCTGTTGAGCCCAATGGACTTATTACCCAGTATGAGGTGAGCCCATGGAGACATGAGGGTGAATTTCTTCGATGTGTAAATTTAATTGGTTGTAGAGTTTGGTGGATTGGGGCAGGTGCGAGCATTTAGTAGTCTCTCTGTTATCATTGTTGGCTCCGCTGGATTTAAAAGTTGACTTAATCAGCTAACATGGTTGCTGTGCTGTTGTTTGCTGATTCGTTTAATGATTCTGGAGTGTAAACATATTCAAATCTAATAACAAGCAAAGCTGTACCCATACATATCAGCATGTTAAATGCCAGTGGCTGGATGGGTGATTAATCAACTTCTCTGTGCTTTATCTTGAACTTTATTCAGGGTTGCCATGGTTTCTGTAGCAGAAACTAACTGGGAAAATATTTCTGTGTACAAAGTCTGCAAACGTATAGATGTCAAAATCCTGTACTGTCTGATGATGATGAATCAGTTATTTAAGTGCAGTTTGTACAGTAGTGATTTTAGACTACAGCTAAAAGAAAAGAGAATTTCATATGCTCAGATGAATCTTTAAAAAAATGAAATGACATTGATCTACAGTAAAACAAACACAGATATTAAACGTGTTATTGCTAGGAAACCATCAAACTAGCTCGTATTCTCTAGCCAATAGTAACTCTGATATTCCTCTCCTGCCCTGACAGACAGCTGGAAAATTTAATTTAATAATTTAATTTATTTGGTTGTTTAAATAGTATTATGTTTAATCATATTTCAACGTCCTGTTAAACACTGTCGGCATTTTAGTTGAAAGGCGCAGAGCGAGGTCTCTGTCAGTTTCTCTCCCTCACCTGCCATCCAAGCTATCCGTGCCACCTGCACCACGGTGCCTTATTTGTAAAGTGGCTTTGACAATACAAAGAAAAACACAGTAATATTCTAAATAAAGTTGTTAAATATTATATACTACAGATGGAAAGCCTAGTGGTATTAACCCTATTGGTATTGTATAGTGATAAAAGTAAGCATCGGGATTGTATGAGTGCATACACTATTGCTGAAAAGAAAAGTGATGCAGGGATGAGTTTTAAGACGTCAAATGTAAAAAATAAAAAAAATCAGTTTTAATAAATTTAAACATCATTAATTTTGTAAATCAGGCAAATTAATGAAAGACCATTGAGCCAGTGAGTAAAACATTTGTGCCATCAACAGTGTGTCATGTGAGAGACGTAGGTCATACAAGCTGCCTGAAAAAAGGAGACTGACACTCTGAACTCAACTGTGATAGAAGATCAACTATGATCTTCTTCTGAGACTTTGATTGGCAATCACTCCTGGGTGTCATCCAATGCAAGACCTCCCCAGAATATATAATGCCTGCAAAGTACAGATGCCTTACTCACAGTTTCAGTAAAAGTCCCGGTGCAGGAATCTGCTGTGTGACCTCTCTAGGATAAAACGTACCTCCAACACATAAAGGGCTGCTGGGATAGTTGGTAAAGTCTTAAAGCTAAGCAAAATGCATGATCAGGTGCTTAGCTGCAGGCTGAGTTCCTTTATTGGGTTGCTTGCATCATACATACGAATAAACTCATAAATTAAACTGAGGTGGATGTAGTTTGTTCTACTGCTTCCATACCATTTTTGTGGTCAAGAATAAAATATAATTTTCCCATTTGGTTTGATAAATTTAGAGGTTCTTTTCAAGGGGTTGTTAACTTTATATTCAATATTTTTTACCAGCACAAAAAAATCTCCAGCAATACAAAAAATAACGAACCCAAACAGCATTTTCCTGGAACTGAAGCGTGCCTGTTCTTTTTTGTTTCCTGCCTAGTGCAAAAAATATTTCCCTCTCTAGTTGCTGAACCATTTTCAGCATTGCTGCAACTGGCACGGCACAGATAAAGTATGTGCTTAATCACACAACCATTCTGCTGCAGTTTATGCTTTTTTCTTTTTCCACCCAACGGACAATGCATGTGTGTCTTTATAAACAAAAATAGCAGCGATGACTGGATATGCTTTTGCTAACGTTGAGCACATGGCTTGGACACTAAAACCGGTCTTCTTGTCCTGTAGAAACAGAGAGTGGCACCTTAATCGATACACAATTTTTTGCTGTAGGGCTTCTGCTTAGCTGGACAATCATTTTGCATTTACTTTACACCCTCCGTCTGCAGTAAGCACTCAGTAGGCCTGCCTACCCATGCTCAACTCTTCCTTCCTTCTTCTTCCTTCTTCTCTTGCAATGTCACCTCAAGGATATATTAAATAGAATTTCTAGTTTGACATATAAAGTGGAGGCTGCAGAAGATTTTTACACTGTAGTGTACACTGATCTTCCTCAACTGACAAAGAAAGCTTTATACAAAGCTGTAGAAATCCTCTTCATTTCTCTCAGATTAAACTATTGACCAGTCTGCCTGAGCCTATCGACCAGAAAGCTGTCCTGCAAGCCCTCCTCGTTCTTCTGTGCTGGGTCTGGCATTTTTTATGAATGCCTTTGTAGCAGAAACACAGTGGTCTGTCTGTTCTCAGTCACTGGATGGCTCATAATTCTATCTTCTCCCTACGAGCATGAGCAGACATAAAGCTCTTCTTATGATAATCAGCAGAAGCTTCGGTCAGCGCCGGCGTGTGCAACGTGCACGCGCACGAGCACATACGGTACGCATCGAAACGTGTGTGTGTTCGTTTCTTCAGTGAAGTGGATCTCCTCCAGCTCCACGTTTCCCTAATACGCTCACCCTTGTCTGATTGCGGTAAGGTCATCTCATTTAGCTCTCCACTATTTCAAAGAGCATAAGTGGAAATTCTCGTGAGGTAGAGGCACAGCTAATCACCTTTCGAGGAAAAACTTTTGAAAAGATTACACTTTTTTGAGGACACTCTTGCGCACCGATTTCGTAGTGTTAACAAGTGTTAATTAAACTCATAAACACTTTACAGTATTGATTTTCATGCTTGGAAATACTTTTTAGTGCGTGAGGTTCCGTCTCTGGCCTTCATAATGAGCTACTTAGTCAGAAAATCACTTATGGCTCACAATGCTTCTCACCAGAGCTCCATGTTGCTTGTATGCCTTTGAGCTAATGGCGACCATGCCAATCAAGACGTATTCACCTGAAACTGGAAACCACATGAGCAATTAGCATGTTTATTTAGTGAAGCAGTTTATTTCATGTCAAGTGAATCATATCAATGAAATATTTAATTTACTACTTATGACCGAGCCATTTGTGCACCTATTTGATGAACTCAACTGGGGGGGAAATCACCGTTTAAGTTTGTTAGCAGGTATAACAACAGAGCTAAAAATCATTTTAACTGTTTTTTATGCTGTTTTTATTCCCTATCTGACATCAGATCAGCTACCAGAGTATCGAGTCATCTGATCCGAGCATCAACGTCCCAGGACCCAGGAGAACAGTGTCAAAGCTCAAGAACGAAACCTACCACATGTTCTCCAACCTCCACCCTGGAACGACTTACCTAATCTCCGTCCGGGCACGTACGGCCAAGGGCTTTGGCCAGACGGCCCTCACCGAGATCACCACTAACATCTCTGGTAGGAGCGCCGCTGTCGGAGCATCCGTGCTATCGTGGGGGACGGTGCGAAATCTGGTGTAAAATCGTAAGATAGAAATGAAGGCGGGCGTGTAGAGGCTGTTCTCTGTGCCATCGCTGCCTATCGCTAATGCAGCATGCAGGTACAACAGTGAGACTTCACCCACTGTGTGCTATAATTAGAAATCAGGTTTTCTCTCTTTTAACCTCTGTGTCTTCTTCCCTCGCTGAGGCAAAACTGCTGCTCCCAGAGTGCAAGAGCTATTTTCCAATTGCCTTTCCAATCTAGTGGCACGCTGTCATCTCACAGTCCTCAAGACATAAATTAACTTGCAGGTAGCAGGAAAGCACAACAGAGGGGACACTGCTGTGCGTTATGTGTGAAGAAAGATTTAGAACATTCTCGGGACCAGAACACCCCTTCTGAGAGTCTCAGAGCTTATTACTGGTGATAGAAATCCAACCTTTGTGTTTCTGTTTCCTTTTAATGATGCATTTGTGCTTGTTAAGGGATGAGATTACACCTCTGAGGAGCACACAGCACGACCACTCCCACTCGGCCTCGCTCGAACATTTACTCTCTCTGCCCCCATCTCTTTGCAGAGAGGTCCGGTTTGTTTAATTATAGATTTAGTGCACAGGCTCACTCGCTGTATGGCAGACAGCAATCTGGCGTGGAGCCAGACCACAGATAGAGTCCAAAAGTCTTTGCAGATCATCCTCAGCCTCCTCCTCTGGCCCACGGTGCAGAACATTCACTTACACTGAGCGTCTCTCAAATCTGCACTGACAGCTAGCAAACACTGAACACCCACCGCGGGGTATCCTTCCACGCACGTTTCCTCATTCGCGTGCACGCGGAGTCGTGGCTGACGGGCTCTAATCTCTCAGACAGGTTCAGTGTGGCAACTGGCATCGAACCCTCTTTTTTTCTTTTTTGGCAGTACGTAATGTCGACAATAGTGCATCTGGTTTTCCTCAATAACTCACCTTAATTGATGCGTGCTCTTTCCTTCTGCGCTATTAGTGAACTGCTTTTTAATATGATAATTATCGATTCCTCATGAATAGTTTGCTCTCTTCCCCCTTGCTAATTGACTGCTGATATTAAAGAAAAATGTGCCGCCACATCTCCAGGGAGGAGCATGACTTTAGCCAAATCCTTTTAAATGAAAAACCCATTCAATTTAGCTTCACTCCCTTTACTTTTAATTGGACGTGTTTCTAAGACAACTAGAAGGGAAATTCAAACATTGTACTTAAAATGACAATATGGGGTTTGGGTATATTAGCCCGTTTATCCCTGTATGCTGACAAAGGAACGAGTCTTTGCTCAAAAAGACAGTTTGTGCGGCTTTGACCAGGGGTGTTAAACAGTCGTTCATACTAAAACAAAGTAATTAAGTACCAGTTAAAATTACAGGGCTGTCTGTGCAACGAACGAACAGATTTATTTTTGTAATTTGACACAGTTCTTTCTTATAATTTAAGCACAAAGAGTCGTGCTGACAGATTTCTTTTCACTTGCTACAGTAGAAAAACTTTATCTTGTGGAAAAATTGATCTGCACTGTAGTTAAACTTCTTGACTGCACATTGACAAAATCAAGTTTTGCTGATCCGACCCACTTAAGGTCCAAGTGGCCCACGATTCAAAATGAGGTCGACTCCCTTGACCTTAAAAAATCATCTCTGATTTTTTTTAGTTCCATAGTGTAAACTATAAATATGTTAAAAATCAATAGTGATGTAGCTGTGTGCGCACATTTTTTATCTTAATGACATGGCGAGATATGCCAGTGTATCAACAACTGTCTGCATTGCCACTAGTTAGTGTACTATGAGGAAAACGCTATATAGTGAGTGAGTGAGGCTCAGTGTTACGTGACATTTCAAGGATGAACATGTTTATGTGAAAGGACAAAGAGGCAGAAACAGTGTATGAACTCAATTATTGTTGCTTAAATGAGCACTGGCTAAGGCTAGACGTGTGCTTATTTGCGTGTGCTTTTATTGTTTTTGACATGTAAGCTTTTGTGTCTGGTGTCCACAGCTCCCACCTTTGATTACGGAGACATGCCGTCTCCGCTGAGTGAGACAGAGAGCACAATTACTGTCCTGCTGCGCCCCGCCCAAGGCAGAGGAGCACCTGTTAGGTGAGGAGATCATTTCAGGCACAGATAAATGATTTTCATCAATGCTCCAGGCTTATTAAAATGCACATCTGTTCTTTGTACAGCACATACCAGGTAGTGGTTGAGGAAGAAACTGGGAAGAAAGTGAAGCGGGAACTGGGGGTGCAGGAATGCTTTCCGTTGCCCATGTCACACGGGGAGGCCCAGGCCCGAGGGACGCCTCACTACTACACAGCCGAGCTGCCGCCCAGCAGTCTGCCAGAGGCCAGTCCCTTTACTGTGGGTGACAATCACACGTATAATGGTTACTGGAATAGCCCTTTGGACCCCCGTAAAAGCTACCTTGTCTACTTCCAGGCTATGAGCAACTTCAGAGGGGTGAGTGACTATAAACTTGCACTGGTGTTGCAGCAAAGCTGGATAGGTTGTTTTTGCAGACCTTTTTATAGTCTGTGTCCAATTGTACCAATGACACTCCTGTTCTTTAATGTCTTAAATGTTCTCAAATCAGTTGCAGGCCTCTGTATGGAAACTGTTCTGTTCACCACTGATGCTAACACACAAACACACCCATCTCCATATTATCCCAGTTTAATCCCTGGCCAGTGGTACTCAAATGAAGTCTGAGCCAGTGGTGTTTGGCGTTAATGAGTATCTGTATTTAAAGTACTAATGCTGTGACTGATGTATTGTGTGGACCTTTGAACAAGCACTTATGCAGTGAAAGAGGTTGTTGGATGAAAACAAACTGCGCAGGCAAATGTAACTACTTGAAAACTACAAACGCTTACATCCTACCACTTTGATTCTCTGCAAACAAAGCATTTCTGAGACAGGAATTACTTGCATGTATTACAACAAGCAAAGCTCTGATTAAGTGGAATTACTCAGAGTAAACAATCCGCTTCATTCGCTTCCTCTGTCCTGTTACCTCCATGTCCTTGTCTGCTCCCCTCTTTCTTTATGCAAATAATTAGTTAATTATCTTCGAGAAAAATCCAGATGTAGCTGGCCAAGGTAACGCAGAACTAAACCCGAGGCTTTTACGCGACTGCTTTTCTGTCCACTCACTAAAAACTTGCAGACCTTGTTTCCACACGGCTGTGCTTCCTTCCATTTCATTGTTCTTGAACAGACAAAGACCTTCAGTTGTACCCAGAGGATGCCACATTACCTTTCCAAATTCCATTACAGGAAGAGCTGCTACCTGGGTGAGGCAATTACTTAAGGATAATTGGGCACAGGTGCAGCTGATCAGTGGTAGAAAGCTGCTGCTTTAATATTCACAGACTGTGGCAATGTAGCTGAAAGTTATTGCCGTAGGTAAAAACACAGTCTTCTGTGATCATCAGCTGGTGATAAATACGTGCAAGCTGGGTCACTCGTGTCTGCTTATTTTTTCCGATTTCTGTCGGCTGCTTTTTCATTAGGAGTGTGCGTGTGAGTGTTTTTAAAAATCCTGCAAACAGGAGCTGGGTGGCTCGTCCCCACCAGTAAGATCTTTTTCCAACCCAGTGAAAAAACACACGGACGGAGTGCTGTGTGAGCACTTCACACAGCTAGGCTACCAAGAATGGGATTAGATAGGGGCGGCCTGGCTTTACCGGCGGATGGGATTAGGCTTTGTTTTGCCTGGCAGGGGGCCAGCATCCATGACCCACAGTGATGGGAGCACAGTGCCAAATCACACAGCCAACATTGTCCTCAGTCCTTTAAACATTGCTTTGCCTGGAAGTACAGATGCAGTGAGTGTTTAAATCTGTATATCGGTGCTGCAGGACCGAACCGACTTCACTTAAATCAGCTTTTAACACGAGGAGTCAGAACAAGTTTACCCTCACAAACACATTATTTCGGTTAGTGTGTCAGACCTTGCTCAGTGTTCATTGCTTAGCACAGGATCTTATTAACCTCCTAAGACCTGAACTCTTCCACGACATGCATTATTTTTGTTTTTAAAAAAATGAGAGCCACATATGAGGATATTCATTTAAAATTTTGATAGAACAGTAGCAGTATAATGTCCTCGTAAGTGGATATCAGGCCCATGTAGAGCAAAATTGAGTATTTTGGTCTAAATAACCCAAAATGTGATGTCCACATATGTGGACGGCAGGTCCTAAGAGGTTAATATAGCTTTTTCATTGATGTCAGTGTAATAGCTGTGTGATGTCAGTGAGTTCGGTATACTTAAAGCCGACCTATGCTTTGTATATAACCCACACACATCACAACAGGATTATGAAAAGACAAGGATTGCAGGAGAAAAGGTGTCATATGCATAATGTAACAAAAAAAGTATTAAAGAGTGTAAAATAGCAGTAATTAGACTGCTAACAGAGCACACAGTTATACGGCATGGCACTTAGCTTGTTAATGATATTAACATCATTAGCAGGCGCAGTTTTTTACCTCCCAGAGTCATTTAAAAGTGGCCACATCCAAGTGCTAATGACAAAGTGTATTAAAACCATCAAGCAGATGTTCACGTTTGGCTCCTGTAGCCTGCACGGACCAGAAACGGTTCAGCAATTGCTAAATGTTTTGTCCTGTTTTGTATCTTCCTGCTTGTGCTCCATGTGCATTTATGCATCACAGGCCTTTTCACATTTTCGCATTGTGCGCACACTGTCACAAAAATGTAGGCCAGAAAAGTGAACGTTGGCATTTTGAATTCGATTGCGTACAGAGGCACAAATGCATGTACTGGAGATATTTTTGTAGTGGTGTTTTGTAAAGAGGAGAGCGAAGCGTAATTACTTTATGCCTGCTCGTTTTAGTGGAAGAAAAAAATTTAAAGAGCACTCCAGAAGCTGGCAATGAAAGTAGTTTCTCTCCCAAGAGTGAAGCATCTGAAAGTCACATACACCTGGATTAAACACTTGTTGATGCCGTGCTGACATAATTGTCATCTTTAACAGTTATTTAAGCTATTGCACCCCGGGGGGGCGAACAGAGCTGTCATCACGTTTTATGACTTATTGGGACGCCTCGTTATTTCAGAATCTCTGTGGTTTATTTAAGGTTTTGTCTTTGTGAAGGGGAAACATTGAACCTCTATAATGGTGGAACAGTTTGAACAGTATATGGGACCCACAATATTTGGTATTTACCCATGCTAATCATCTAGAGAGTGGCTCTCAAGCCTCTGTAATTGCTTTGATTGATCCATCTAAAGAGGTACTTGAAAAGCTGTGGATAAAGGCTGTAGCTTTGAAGGATACAGCATACCCATTTATAACCACTACACTTAGATCTCCAAACTTTGCACACACATACACACAAACACTGTAAAAACCTTGAGTGTGTGCCATAAAGCCCTGTGTTGCATGTTGGCATTTGCGTTTTCTATTTAGAGCTGCCAGGAGCCACCAGCCCCTCTGGCGTAACTGGCACAGCGTGGGGAGACGTGATGTTTCTTCCACAATCTGGAGCTTGCCAATTAACACTTCTGCTGAGCTAGTGCACAATGACTTAGATATGCGAGTTGAAGAATTTACTTGTCCATCACGACGACCTATTTTTCATCATCTGCATTAAGGAGATGTAAATGTATCTGTCTTAATTTGCCAAAGCTTGTAATGATTGAATGTATGAATGATTTCAAATGCTTTCTCCATAAAGTAGACTGCTTCAGATGAATCAGCTTTTTTTCTTTTGTAAGGAAAATGTTTAATGTAATTGAGTCAGTCCACAGAAGGCTCAAAGTCCCCAGTCAGCAGTCTGCATGTACCAGTTCTCCTGATACATGCAGTGGAAATGAAGTGGGTTGCACTTTGATGAATAGTATTAATTAAAACAAATTGATAATCATTTTATAGCAGTTTATATAAATTATATTAGAAATGTGGCTTAAAGTAAGTTATATAAATCCACCTGTCAGCTTCGTTGTATTGTGGTAATGTGCAAAAGTGTTTCTTTATGTTTTGCTAGGAAAATGGGAAATTGGTGCAGCAATTTATCGAACCATGCAGACATACATGGAAATATAATATATATAGCATTAACTAGTATAATATTTGCTTATAACATTTCAGTTAATAATACAGTATGGAGTAGGGGTGGGTGATATAAACGATATATGATAGAAACAATATAAATTTGGCCAACGATAGAGTTTGACTATACTGCTCAATCGCGATAGCGCATGTTGATGATGTCATCAAGCTGCGCCTGTTTTGGTCGAAAGAATCGCAGTGGCTACAACCATTAACATCTGCAAATTATGCCGACAGTCATAGCAAAGACATGAAGCACTTTTGAAATATGGGGAAAGCCAAAAACTGCGCTTCCTCCACTTCCGTAACATTGATTCATTAATGTTGAATTCTCTCGCAGCTGCTCTATTCCCGTGTTGTTGCAGTATATTAATGACTAACCTCGTATTGTGGATGAATAATCTCAGTTGTTCTCCTGCCCCGTGTATAGCATCCTGCTATGCGATTGCATTTGTCCCTAACCACCAGAATCCCTCACGTTAACTTTTATCGAGTGGAAAAAAAGTTGGTGTTCATCCTCCAGTTTCACTGTGCTAATGTTATGCTAACATAGCTGTGTTGCTAGCAATCACGTAGCACAACATTATATACCAGGTAGTCCAACTTCAGTAACCCTGCAAACGCCACTGCTGTTTAGTTTTCCGTCTTCATTTATGTCGAAAGTGATCAAATCGGTTCGAGGTCAGTAAGCACAACCAGAATTCATACATAAGGCACACTGTTGAAGAAAATTAAAGATTTTAAGTTTATTAGTTTGGAAAATACGTTATACAGAAGAAAAGAATATATCGCGATATATATCGTTACCGCACATGCTTCAAATTATATCGCGATATGAATTTTAGGCCATATCGCCCAGCCCTAGTATGGAGGCAAACACAGAGTTCATTCAATTCACTTTCAGGGTGCTTTGGGTGCTTTGGACACCTTTATTCTTTAACACAGCCTGAACTCTCTTAGGCAAGTTTCTCTTAATTCCTTTAAAGAGTCTCCAGGAATAGTTCTCCAGGCTCCTTGAAGGACATTCAGGTCTTTTGCTTTGGATATTGGGCTGCCTTTTGTTGGGTTCTCTATCAGGATAATTGTACGTTTTACCAGCAAAGTATGCTTTTTATTTTACATTACAACAATAACTGATTCAGCTAATAATTTATATTAATAATAATTAATATTAATGATCAAGGAACTGACCTCACAGTCCATTGTTCATTCAATGGGCTGGTTTCAGTTATTGTGCAAATGTACTGTTTATAAGGTTGGGGAAACCTGCAGAATCAACCTTTGGAACAGCCAAAATAGCAGCAGTTACCAACAGAAAAGTATATCCTCAACAGCACCTCAGTATCGGTCAGAAGTGAGTTTCACTGACTTGGATTGGACTCCTTTCACAAAGCTTTTGAATTAGTAGGGGCAAGAAAACTGGATTCAGTTGACTCCAATCTGCAATCTACTGATATCTAGTGGTGAGGTTTTACACACTGTTGGGCTGGAGAAATGGCACTCTGTGTGACGGGACATGTTTGTTTACAGTTTGATTCTATATTTTCAGGTTAAACCATGGAGTTAAAGACTTGTTTAAGTGTCGGATTAAAAATGTATTTTCAATTTAAAAAAGCAATGCAACTGGAGTTTGAGGAAAGCTCGTTTTGCCCATTTCTGAATAGAAGAATTTGCATAATTGTCCCATAATGCCCGAATTAGCATCTCTGAATCTTAATTTTATGATACATCTCCTCCATGAGGTTGTAATTGGATTACAGTCTTGGTTCCCATTAGTGCTGTTTGACAAAGGTTCTTTTCGTAACAGAGAGATGCCATCAGCTGAAATTTGAATAAAATGAATGATTTTTATAGCGATGGACTGGTCTGAAACCCCTCCTCTTAATTATGCTAAATTTGTTTCAACTTTCATCTTTTCTCCTTCAGATAGAATCCCTAATCTCCTTCTCATACACTTCACCACAGATCTCAGGTTTTAGATATTTTTTTGTTTTCTCCTGTCGTCAGTAGGAATCTTAACTTGTGAGGTAATTCGTCCTTTTACACTCAGTCATTTTATGCTTTCTTTGGAGATGTGAGTGCCACCCACTCGTGTTGAGTAATTTGTATTTCAAATCAGAGGGTATGAACAATTGAAATGAAAGGCGGCATCATGCTTCTAGATGCGGGCTAGCATCACTTCTAACATTAAGTCCGTACTGCTTGTCTTGGGAATAAACATCATAATTTTGAAAGCATTTGTGTGTTTTTATGTGTTGTAATCATAATTTTTTCACCACATAATAAATGTGTGCGCCTCGGCTCAGTATTTCACATCCTCTCTTCTATTATCACATCTCTTTCATGCAAAATGCAAAGTGACACTTTCCCCCTGACGTCTGTGTTGTCTTTCTCTTTCAGGAATCTAGAATAAACTGCATCCGCATTGCTCGCAAAGGTAATTCAACACAAATATCTCACCTCCCAAAAACACTGTGACCTGAATCCATTTCCCTGCATCATTTCTAAATAACTTGCAGTATTGTGTACTTTTGTAGAAAGACAGGACATTACGAATGTGACGGTGATGATGTGTTTACTCTGTTGTAGGATGAAATATTCATTAGGTGATTCTTCGCGTAGCTTTCGTTTTTAATATGCTGTCGATACATTGTCACCATTTATTTGTTCATTAAAACGTGCAAATACTTCAGATCTGTCGGTTTGACTGCCCAGCGTCGCTACTTCGTGACACCTCGTGGTAGAGCGAAAAATAGTTAACCTGCCGTGAAGAGGAAACTAACAGGGGACGGACGGTTCAAACTAATTAGTGACCTGATCAGCAAATTATTAAAATTGAAAAAAAAAAAGACACTTTAAGGACTATTTTTCCTCCCTTTGTTATCTAGCACTGCATTGAGCATCATTCAGTCACTGTTGTTAGAGGCAAGGTTTCATCTTAGTACTCTGTAGCTCCCACCTATCTCTCTTCTCTTAAGTAAAAAGGTGAAGAACTGGACAAATTTTCTCTGGCGGCCCCGGTTGTTTAGCACTGGGCCTCAGAGAAAAGGGCAACAAGCAGGGAAGGATTAGAGGTCAGGCTTTCATCCTGTTTGTTTGGGGGCTGACACTGGGACACGTCGTATCAAAGGCAGTCTCTTTGTTCTCATCAGCAGCCCACCAGACAGCTACATCTGAGGGCTCTGACCTCTGCGCTGTCCAGAAGGGTTCTCCAGATCAAAACTTCCAGATGGAGCTACCTTGGCCTATCAGTATGAGAAAGCCCTCCCTGCCTCCTTATCTTTACCTTGGCTTTTTTGATTCAAAGGCACATGAAAAGGGCAGAGAAATTGACTCTAAGTCCTTATGGCAGGAGAGCCCCTCCACCATAGTACACTGTCAGATCACGGTAAATAAAAAGTCATGTATTTATAGTTATCATAGCACCGCAACAGTAAGCGGAGCCTTGCAAGTAAATTGACTTGGCGGGGTGTCTTTTTCTTTTTTTGGTTAAGGCCTCTTCTTTTGTGAGAGAATAATGAAAAAGATGAGGCTAAGGAGAGGCCAGCCTTTCCAGCTCGACTTCTCGCTCCCCACAAGTGCCAAATTGGGCATTGATTAATTAAAAGTCCCCACAGCAACAGACTTTATGCTGCATTTGCCACTTTTATTTGACACTGGGCAGAGACAGAATGAAAGAAATGAACAATGGAGCTCCTAAGATAAAAAGAAAATACAATTAGCAATGAAATAAAATACCTGTAGAGAAAGAGAAGTGGAAATAAGACAAAAGAATAAAAGGTTAAATGCACAATTGAAAGTTATGATTTTAAAAAACTGACAGCACTACATTTTCACCACAGGCATGGTGATATAACTGAAAACCCCCTGAAATGCCCATTGATGACAGGAAAAAAATGTGGGTATTTCCAATTTCAAGGTGTAACAGGTCACAGGGTTGGTTTTTTTTTTTTTTGTTGCTATGTGCGATCTCCATGATCCCTCTACCATTAACAGAGCCTCTGCATCATCGGGTCCTAAGCCGTTATTATCAAGCAGCCCATCACAAGCGAAGTGGAGGCAAATGATTCTGGCTTGGATAACAAAGCTGGAGATTACATTTCAACTTCCAGGTGACAGTTTAATTAAGGATCCTCTGGCAGGCTCAACACAACAATAGACTTCCATTTCTCCTCTAAGTGCCAATTTCCACCATCGGGCAGCTGGCAGGTGCATGGATTCATGTGGAAATCTATTTCATGCTCGTGTTTGGCTTAATAGAAATTTTGAGGGTAAAAGAGGCAAAACCGCCTTATCTGTCCAAAATGTCAGAAAACTGAAATTGATTTTTCACCTCCTCCGCTACATTTTTAGCCCGTATAAAGAAGCCTTCCCCTAATTTTAAATGAAGTTGCGGCATAAAATAAACAGTGAGCATCTGAGTTTGTGTCTGAGACGGTGCTTTGAATGGAGCGTCGTCTCAGACGCGCTGGAGTCTTTGTTATGCGTCGGTTACAGTCGCTCAGAGACACAAAGGCATTTTGGATGTTGGTGTGTCCTTGTGTGTGAACAGAAACCACAAAAGGAATCACTCACTGGCTAAATCCTTTCTCACCACGGCGGCAGACGCGACGTTTAAAAGCAGCACATGCAGAGATGTCACGCTATCGGATTAATATGTAATCGGAGGACAGCGACACGAAAGTGATGTCCAAAGCAGTTTCAGAAATAACAGCCTTAGACTAATATCAGGCCAGTGACTAATTTCCCCCTATTCTGATATGTCAGACATTCATGATTGATTAAAAAAATCCAGCCAAATCCTACCATGATATTGCACTACTTTCATCTTTATTTGGACAGAGGGTTCTAAGGCGGCCCAAGTGCCCATGGCTGCAAATAGTTGGACTAAAGCACGGCTCTGTTTTCATTTTCCCTGCCCCAGATCTGATTTTCTTTTTCCCCAGCAGGCTGTAAGATAGAGCTCTATCCCCAGGCCTGCTCTGACTTTCTCCCATTCTCCAGATAGTATATACTGTTCCAGTAAGCTCTGGAGGGCTGGTTTCCAGGCTGTCAAGGCCTGGAGGACAGGCTGACACACAGGGAAAAAAAAGTGGATCAGTGGGCTCCTAGAACAAGGCAAAGAAAGACCCACTGCTCAGCACCATTTACATAAGTATGAAGCTTTATGTAGGAGAAATGAATAACCTGCTATTATGGTAACGACCTTTCCAGTAGCTCACAGACAGCGGGGCACCTTGAGACTGTACTGTAAAGCAGTGTGGAGGTTTCTGACTGGAAACTGATTATTGATTGGAAATTGACTTCAGAGGTCAGTGAGTGTACGACAGCATGAATTGCAATCCAAACGTGTCGCGTTATAATTATAATGTTTAATGCACAACTTTTAAATCAAGAATGATTTGCTGCTGTGAGTTCACCGCCTCACTCTCCCAAATTTGGAGCCTTGTAAAATTTGCCAGTTCATGCAAACCTGCTTAAAAAGATCATGGTAGACATAGTAGCGACATATATCCTTAACTGTCTGAAATGATCACAGAAAATCATTCCGTGTGGGAGCGAGTCTGCTTATTTTGCACATGTCACTTGTATCTGTTTGGGCAGCGTGGACAATCACTGTTCAAAGTGTCACCTCTTCATTTGCATACGTTTTTCACTTCTGTCTATTTTTTTGAAAATGCCTCAGATCAGATCAGTGGATCTCTTAGCAGTGGTTATGATAGGTAGTGTGACAGGATGACAAAATTCAGCTTTCCTACCTCTGTTGAATCCTTTTTGCCCTTTATTCCTTTAAGTTCTATGTTTGCATTCTGCCTTTTTAATGCGGCTCTTCTGTCTTCCCTCGTGTAGCGGCCTGTAAAGATCATCGCAAGGCTTTGGAGGTGTCGCAGCACTCCGAGGAGATGGGGCTAATCCTCGGTGTGTGCGCCGGAGGCCTGGTAGTGCTCATCCTCCTGCTGGGCGCCGTCATTATCATCATCAAGAAAGGGTAAACAACTTTCCATAGACGTTGTGAACAAAACATGCGTCATTGTGCTTAATCACCCCGCATAGTTTTACCTTTTACGTTTTATTCTCCAGCAGCTCGGTGATCGGCTTTTACTCTTTGCTAGACTTTTGCAAAGGTCACGCTTTCCAAAAGATGGGCAAACAGCTGGCGTGGCGTTGTTTTTCTTTTTCTTATATCGCACCAGGGGGACCAAACAACTCGCATCTGCAGAGCCTGAGTGTGAAGTATTTAATTAAAGGCGGATGCAATTCAATTAGCTACTTAATTACACACACCAAACAGACGCCTGACCCTTAAATGAGATGGTAATTGGGAGGGAAAAGGTGTGCTTTTAGAGATTATTAGTCAATGATCCCGCAGGTCTACAGTAAATCATCGACACCTCTGGCTCCGCATTTATTCAGCGGCAGCTAAAGTCTCAAATCGGGCTTCGACGCCCTCGCCTGTTTAAGATAAATTGAATTCTAAAGATCCAGCCAAAATAGGAGTTAGTCAGAGGCTCCAGCAATCGGTGTTTAAATTGCTGACACAGCGTTCAGGGTAATGGTGAATAATCTTGATTGTGGAAGTCGCTTCTACTCTGCACATTAGCCCGCGTTGCTCTCCTAAGCCACCATGAATTTCACTTTTAGGGAATTGATTATTAAATTTGCTGTGACAGGAAGCCGCGTGGTCTAGTCCTTGAAGTGTAACACTGAGACGTATTCGATTGAAAGAAACACACATTTTTCTGCCCGGCTGTGGTTTAGTCTGTCAGCACCTGCTTGATCCGCTCGCATGTGTCATATGGCCGCCTGCGCAGCTAAACTCATGAGAGGACGGTTTTCATTTTCACTGTAATCAATGCACTCTGCCCTTAGCTGACATTGCTTTCATCTTACATCTCTTCTTTCTCTTGATTTTTATTTTTTTCCCTTCTTCTCCTGCACTCTTGCCAGAAGGGACTACTACTCTTATTATCCGTAAGTGACTCCACCTCTTTGCTTTTCCATCGTTTTGTGATCCATCATACACGTGCATGTGCGCTTGCTGGCTGTCAATCATGAGTTACAAGAGTGTACCACTCTTTTTTTTCTTCTCTCAGCAGATCAAAAGTGCACAAGCTTCTTTCTGTGTTTTTTTTTCCTACCTAAACATAACTGCAGAGACTCTTGTGGCAATCTCTTCTTAATATTGATTGCTTCTTGATTGTTTTCTCTATCTGTTAACAGGAAACCAGGGAACATGAATAAGACGCCAATTACCTACCGCCAGGAGAAGAGCCATATGGGCTCTATGGAGCGCAGTTTCACAGACCAGAGCACCCTGCAGGAGGATGAAAGAATGGCTCTTTCCTTCATGGATTCACACACTTGCGGCACACGAAGTAAGAGAAGTGCACCGCTGTGACACTCATGCAAGCTTTGCATAGCCCCGAACCTGACACGCATCATCCCTCACTTTGTAATCTTTTTGGCCGTTGCTCGATCGCTCCATAAATATTTCAATCAATTGCAACATGTGAAAAATCTCCTTCAGTATGATTTCTTGTCAGCTACTACCGCCTGAAGCCAACACAGAAACACAGAATCTCACTAGATGGCAAATAAAAAAAATAAATGATTTGTGATTCTTGTCAGTTTTGTGCTTTCTAATGTTGTCAGCATCACAGAGGAGGAAAGATGGATGTGTTTATCCTAAAGATGCTCGAGATTCTTGTCTGCTTCACACTATCTGAGAAAGAGTTGCCGACGCATCAGCATAAGATCTATTACGAAGACATCTGTATCGAGACGAACTCTATTCAAAACTTCATGCCTGACGTGTATTTGTCATGTATCGGCCTGTAAAGTGCATTTCTGTGCCGCTAACACATTCAAACCAGTATAAACGTGACACGCAAGTGTTAGAAAAAACGATAAATGTTTCAAGCCGTGATGTGTCTGAGTCATTAACGTTTCAGCTCGCTCAAACTATGAATGTGTCTGTGTGCGTCGCTCAGGTGATGCTCGAAGTTCAGTGAACGAAGCCAGCAGCCTGCTGGGAGGCTCCCCGAGGCACCAGTGTGGACGTAAAGGTTCCCCCTACCACACGGGACAGCTCCACCCTGCCGTCAGAGTGGCCGACCTCCTCCAGCACATTAACCAGATGAAGACCGCCGAGGGCTACGGCTTTAAACAGGAATATGAGGTGAAAGGGCGCCGTTGTACTCCTATTTAACGCTGTGACATTATAAGACAGCATAGACAGCTATTAGTCCTGCACTCTGGCAACGTTAAATGAACAGCGGTATAAAGAATGGGTGCTGGTGCACTCATGCTGAGTTATTTAAAATGGAGCTATAACACTTTTCCTACTGTCTTATATGTGCTGTTGCAATGGTAGATGGCCAAAGTTTCAAATAATGAGGTCAAAGTCTATGCAAGTAGTTGCTGTGAGTCAAAAGCTCAGGCTTCAGACTATTTGAAGTACTTGGATCGCATCTGTATCCTTTACTTCTTTGGCTAGTTGATGTCAGTGAGAGGAGTTGTCCTTAATATGGTCACTTCAGGTGCGCAGACACCTGCTCTGCCTGACACTGAAAGGCAGAGAAGCAGAGCACTTTGCAGGATTTAGAGGTTGCCGATTTATATATTTACTTGTATGAAAACGTGTTTGCCTTTCCCAAAGAAGAAAGCGCGAGCCGAAACTTCAAAGAGCAATGTTTTTTCAATGAACCCAGCATGAAGTTTGAGTTTCAGCTATGTTAATGCTAAAAGATGGTGCTATTCTGCCTATGAAAGGCAATAATGAGCTGTCAGAACTGCAAGCTGAAGGTGTCACTAAACCACTGCTGTTGTATTTAATGGATTTCAATGGTTGCTACTACAATTTCACTCAAAGTGTAGCCAAATCTGCTCTTTTTTATTCTGCTGACTCTTGAAAGCTCTTTTTATTGGTTAAAGTTGTTAAAAGTGATGCTACAGGGAGGAAATATACAAAAACACAGATGGAGATGAGCTTGTTTTGTTATTTTTAATATTGTGAGATAGTTAACATTTTGTGCTTCAGGTGCTTGTTTGGTTCAGTTCCATAATTTACACTTGTCGGGTGTGATCATGATATTGTGAAATTATGCCTAAAAGTACCACATTTCTGTCCAGTCCTCCCTTCAAGATCACTCTCTCATCCAAACTTGGACCGATTCTAGAGCTGCTTCTATTTTCACATTACCCACTTTCGGGCCAAATGCATCTGTGCTTTGCAATTATTCAGAGGAGGTCGGGGAGCAAATATCCACTTCTGCGACAAACTGATCCGACTTTTGTATCGAGGAGCATTAGGAGGAAGCATAATCCAGAGAACAAACAGCATTTTCAAGTTGTTTAGTCCAGAGTTTCCAACCCCTTCGGTGACATTGGAGGCTAGCAATGGGGAGCAATGCTTTTATTTATTTATCTATTTTTTATTTTCAGTCACGGGGCTGTGCTCAATGAATTTGCACCCTGGGGTCAGCGAAGTTCTGCTGTAACGTCCTGAGGCGAACGTTCAATGGAAATGACCTGAGCTGTGGCATGTGCCAGCCAGATTCCAGAGGCACAAGTGCAAGCGGTCATGACGGGACTTTCAGAGCGCAGTCTAAAAATAGAAGTTCCACTGAAATTGGTTCAAGGTACAGGAGAAGATGACCTTAAATTTAGTACATATAGGTGCACTTGTTGATTTTACCTTGTATTTGGTCTTCTCTTCTTCTTAGGGGCACATTGATCGCCCAATTTAATTGTGGTTCCTTCCCTTCCTATAAATAAAAAGTTTAAATATATCATTATCATACCTTTTAAAGATGACAGGTGAAATTACACCTTTCCCTTAAATTACTTACTAAAATGATATTTGCCAAGTTATCTCCAACAGCTCGGAGAACTTGGCTGATAGTGACGTTATTATAATTGGTATTACTAAATATTATTCTTGCATTTTCTGTAGTTACGGTGTTACATCCCAACTTGTAACACCTAGTAGTTGAAGGCTTTTTCTTCTGAGGGTTCTGCAGATGTTTCAGTGGCAGATGGAAAGCATTACTTCTCAGACATGTCCTAGTTCTGTCCTGAGGCTCCCCCTCAGCAGGAATGCTTGACTTTAATTGCCAACATTGTTAGGAGGAAGGGTGGAATTGTGCTTGCTTTTGAATGCGCATACAAAAAGCTTCAAACACCAAGGAATTGCACTTGTTCTTTCTTATACACTTTGTTATCTTTTAGTTCCCTTTTTAGTCCACTTGGGATCTGACTGGAGTGGTACCCAGTGGAAAGAAAGAAACAGATGTGAGATGAGATGACGATATAAATTTGATTTATTCCACAGAAAAGGATCATTGCATCGCAGAAGTGCCTCGCCCCTAACACTGCAAAATCAGTTGTTTTTGTGCAATAATATTACCATATGTGGTGAAGCCACGTAAAGTTTTGTCCTCACACTATGTCAGTTTTGAATTTTCTGAACTAGAGGCTGTGTAAGTTCATGGGGATGGGCTTAAATTTGGTACATATTAAGTTGTCTTATTTTTTCTAGCATTTCCGAGTACCTCGTATGATTTTCCGGGATAAAAAGTGCAACCAAATCAGTTGTATTTATTTTACTCACTCCAAAGTTCATGATCTAAAGCGATCAACCACTTTTAGCATCAGTTCCATTTGATCATCACTGTTTCCATAGCAAAACTGCACCTATTTGATCCTCTTCAACAAGCATTGGTTTCCTGGATATTTTATGCATTTCTGGGAAAAGCTTCAGAAAATAATAATAATAATAATAATAATAATAATAATAATAATAATAATAATAATAATAATAATAATAATAATAATAATAATACATTTTATTTGAAAGCGCCTTTCAAAACACTCAAGGTCACTGCACACAGTAGAATAAAAGCAACATAAAAGCAAGAAGTTTACAGAATCATAAAAGCATAAGACATAAACAGGTAAAATAAAAGAGTGGAGAGTTTATGTGGGATAAGCTATTTTGTACAAGTGGGTTTTGAGTTTGGACTTAAAGAGAGAGAAGGAAGAGATGTTTCTTAAGTCAGGAGGTCGGGAATTCCAGAGTCGAGGAGCAGAGGAGCTGAAAGCCCTGCTCCCCATGGTTTCCCCCCACAAGACGGGGGGAAGGGATGGAGAGAGAAAGGGAAGAAGAAGATCTGAGACAACGAGATGGGGCGGTGATCTGAACCAGGTCAGAGAGATATGGAGGAGAGAGATGATGAATAGCCTTAAATGTGTACAAGAGTATTTTGAAATTGATGCGATATTTGACCGGGAGCCA